TCAGCTGGTTGTTATGGCCCATAGTCCCTCCCAGGGTGGTTGCTATACTCTGTGCTCATTGCTGTGTGCAATGTCCGTAAAGTACACCCAGGGTCGTAAAGCATAGTGCCACCAGCTAACTTCTGATTGGTTCCTTGTCACGAGGCAGGCATCTGACTTTCTAGTGTCTAGGACAAGGTCAGACAAGCACGTGTTCGGCTGTTATGGCTGCCGAAAGGGGAGCTGGTCCCTTCATCTCAACCTTCCTGAAGTGGTCACCGTTTAACACAGGTCCTCATGTTGTGCCGACCCAACCATGAAATCATTTTGTTGCTACTTCATGACTGTAATTTTGCTACTGTTATGAATCATAATGTAAACATTTGATATGCAGGATATTTGATATGTGCAACCCTGCGAAAGGGTCAACATCCCTTAACCCCAGGGGTCATGACCCATAGGTTGAGAACAACTGCTCTAGAGGAACAGAACTGATAGAATGAATATATATCACAAGGAGGGCTTCTTAGACTGGCCTACACAATAGGACAGTGTAGTCCAACAATGGCTGCTATATGCTGAGAACTGTACGTGGTCAGCACACAAAGCTGGTAGCAGTCTCAGTCTGGTGCTGAAGGTGTGGAGCTGCTGGTCTTCAGTGTATGTCAGAAGGCCAAAAACACGGGCTCTGAAAAATGAAGGTGTAGGCAGCATGAGAGCCAGAGTACACGCACTCAACAGCAAGAGAGAAGACAGGCATAAGCAGCCCTTGTATCTGTGCTGCCCACTCTCGGGGAGGGTCTTAGCCCCTTGAGTCAGTCTTCAAGGAAATACACTTACAGATTCACCCACCCAAAGGTGTGTGTGTGTTTTTACCCCAGATCCAATCAAGTTGATGGCCAAGATTAGCCAACACAGACACTCATATTGCGTGTCTTGGAAGCTGAGAGGGGGAGACATCCCACACATAGTCACACCCCTAAAAAGAGGTGGGGTACTTGCCCATTGCATCCTGTAGTAACTTTTTAAAACAATTTATTTCTTTCTTGTTTTTCAAGACAGGGTTTCTCTGTGTAGCTTTGGAGCCTATCCTGGCACTTGCTCTGGAGACCAGGCTGACCTTGAACTCACAGAGATCTGCCTGCTTCTGCCTCCCAAGTGCTGGGATTAAAGAATTAAAACAATTTGGGGGGGGGGGTTGAGACGGGTTTCTCTCTGGCTTTGGAGGCTGTCCTGGAACTAGCTCTTGTGCCTCTGCCTCCTGGAACAATTTTTTAAGATTCATTTTTAAAGTGTGTGTGGGGGCACACAACAGGGTGCAGGTGCCTGTGGGGACCGGAAGAGAGCATCAGATCTCCTTGGAGCAGGTGTTACAGGCGTATGGGTGCTGGGAACAGAACCCAGGTCCTCCACTAGAGCAGTGCCACTGTTAACCACTGAGCCCTCTCTCCAGCCTGAATTTAAACTTTTTAGGTTACTATATAGAGTATTTGGTTTTCTCAAAGTGGGCTCCTCAAGGTCACCATCATACATATGTGCCATTGTGCGTTGTTTTCATTTGTTCCCCTTCCCCTTTGCCCTCCCTCTGCCTCCTGCCCCCTCCAGCTGGTTCCCTTCCTTCCCTTGCTAAGAGCCTTCTGCTTTCATGTCATGTACATCCTGTACCCTACTTCTCCCCTCCCTGGATCCTTTCCCTTCTTGGGCTCCCCTTCTAGTTTCATCTCTCTCACACACACACACCTTTCTGAGTCTGGCTCATTTCCCTTAACAGTGAGTTCCAGTTCTTTCCATTTTTGTGCAAGTATCATGATTTCCTTTTCTTTCTGGTTGTGTAAACTCATGTCATTGTATACCCTGTGATCTCTTAAAGTTCCTCCTTGGTTGGCTGGGGGTGGCAGTGGTGGTGGTGGTGGCGGCGGTGGCACACACCTTTAATCCAACACTCCAAAGGCAGAGACAGGCAGATCCCTGTGAGTTCAAGACCAGCCTGGTCTACAGAGTGAGTTCCAGGACAGCCTCCAAAGCTACAGAGAAACCCTGTCTCAAAAAAACAAAAACAAAATTCCCCTTTGGTTAACAATGGTGAATGCAGAAAGGTGGGGCCTGGGCTGCAGATTTGCATTTTGGGTGTTCCACTTGACCAAAAATGACTTGGGCATGTCCCAGAGACTCCGCCTCATAGGTAAACCCCTTAGAATATGACTCTTGGCTGAGGTTGTGGGGAAGGCAAGATGAGGAAATCAGTGACTGACTGTATACCTGCCTGGTAAGTTCTGCAGCCAACATGCTGTGTGTTCTGGCGATCTTCCACGGGGTTCCCCTCTTTTCTGCCATCTGCCTGGGTCTTGACCTCCTGAGTGTCAGATCAGGACTCTTGGAACCTACTGAATCTGGGGTTTTTGAAACACCTTGAGAAAATTTGGACAAGGTGAAGCACAGGGGATGCTGAGGTCAAGGGAATCAGTCTATATACAGTATAGAAGACATGTTTCCACGTGCGCCAGTGAACCCAGAATACATGGCTCAAAGTGTGTCCTGGGTGACAGCAATGATCATAATGGGACAGATGTCCCATTCTGACGTAGGGTGTGGACCAGATGGGCCCAGAGGATGTCTCTGTGTCTCCCTCTGTTTTTCTGTGAACCTAGGACTACCCTAGAATAAAATCCATTGAAAATGCCTATGAGGACTGGACAGATGGCTCAGTGCTTAAAGCACTGTCCTTTGAGAGGACCTAAGTTCAGTTCCCGCCATGTTGGGAGGTTCACAACTACACATAACTCTGGCTCTAGGGGAAAATCTGATGCCCTCTAGTGGCCTCCACATGCACCTGCACCAAAGTGCATATAACCACGCTAATGTGCACACATCTGGGGTGGGGAAGGGTGTGGTTTTTCTGGTCCAGATCTTGAATTTTAGGGCCAAGTCTTAAGTCAGGGCTATTCCTTTATAAAGTGCTGAGTATTAGGCACCTGCTGTAAACAGCTTCAGGGTGTGCATTGATACAAGGAAATGAAGCCGATGTGTTCCTGACTGTGTGGTGTCCAATCAACCAGGCTGGATGGGAGGAGGGCAGACACACAATCCCCGTCCCCACCCCATCTGCAAAACAAGGGGAGCCCCGAGTCCTCCTACAGGGAGCACATAGGAATGTGACTATTGCTGCAGATGGAGGGATCATGCACCAGAAGGGAAAACTGAGATCAGGCTACATAGCCTAGGAAGAGAAGCCATGCTCGGGTGACAGGTGATGGGACTTTCCAGGTCCCATCCTGGCTGCCCCTTGGCTACTGAATCAATCAGCAGCCCCCTAAGCTTATTTTCCCCTCAAGGGAATGGATGCAACACTGGGCCTTTAGTCTTTCTACAGGGGGTTTGGGTTGCCAGGTATCCTGAAAGGTAGAGTGACTCTTGATGCAGACGGGGTGTTTCCTTTCCTGGGATGGTGAGGGCTTGTGTGCTGTCTGAGTCAGGATGCATTGGTTTTTGTTTTTTTATTTAATGTGCACTGCTGTTTTGCCTGCATGTATGTCTATGTGAGGGTGTCAGATTTTGGAGTTGTGAGCTGCCAAGAAGGTGCTGGGAATTAAACCCTAGTCCTCCGGAAGAGCAGCCAGTGCTCTTGACTGCTGAGCCATCTCTCCAGCCCCTGGATGTATTTTTATTCAATGTATACATTAGAATATCTTCTGTGTGCCCTGGCTAAGACAGGCCTGGCTGGGGCCATCAGGGCTTTGAGGAGACGGTCTAGGGTATAAGCCCAGGTAGGGGCCAGACATGGATATTCCTTAAACCTACCAAACCCATCCTGGGTGTTCCACCAGACCTCCTAATGACCAGAAGGGACAGAGAGCCAGGCACAACACACACAGCTGCATCTCTGATGGGCCAGGGTCACCCAGTTGGATTATAATTAACATTTTGAGCCAGGTTTGTGTCCTGAAGTGCCATGGCCATGACTGGTGCCTATACTGGCTTTGTGATAATGAAACCCCAGCCGAGGGGGATCAGCATCTCAGAGGTTTCTGTTAATGGGAGATCATAGAAATTGTAGACACACCCCAGCTGTGCTTGGGTGCAAGTGGAGGGAACACGTGGATTCATCTAGATGCCAGCGTCCCATGTGACCTGTGTTCTTCTCTTCCAGGGGCATGGTCTAGCAGCCCAGCCAAGCCTGTGCATCAGCCCTCCCAGCAGTTCTGACCCTTGCTCTGCCTTGGCCTCTGCTTGGCCTTAGGTAAGTCACTCTGAGGCCAGTGGGCTGCAGATTATTAGGGTTGTGGGTAGGAGGGTTAGCTTTTGTAGAAACTGTATGGGGACAGTCTACCCAGTGCTCTTAGGGGACAGGTCAGGAAACTGAGGCTGGGAGATCAGAAGAACCCTTATGGGTTCTAGGTGCCAAACCTCTCTTCTTGGTCTCTCTGAGAGCATCATGTGTGCCTGTGTGCTTGTCCAGAGAGCAGAGTTGGGAACTCAGTATAAAAGCAGGGAATGGAGAACAGAGCCATCTCTCTCCTGAGGTTCCTTTTATCTTCTCTTCCCTTTGTACCCCACAGTGTAGGGGGTGGGAGGGGGTGTCTGTGTACCTTAAAATTGTCCCCAGAATAAGCCAGACCTTAGCCATGAGGCCAACACCACCACCTTTGTTTTGAGAGGTCATGTGTGTCAGGGTTCTTGCAGATGTGGAGGCAGACAGATGTCAAATGGTACTTCCATCTGTGGCTCTCTGGTGGATGTAGCACCCCAGAAACATAGGCCATCAGCTCCCAGCAGACCTGGGTGAGGCTGGGTTCCTTCTCCCCAGACTTCCCAGCTCCCATAGCATTCATACAAGGATTGGCAGGGAACAGGGTGTCCTCGGGACTTCCTGTGGGTGGGGTAACTTTTCCTGCCTTCATCTTCCAGAGGGAGAGGATGTCTCCTACTGCCTACCCTTCACTCTTCCACATTCCCTGTACACTCTCTCCGAAGGAGATACGCAAAAAGGGGCCTTTGCCTTGGGAAGGAGGGTCTTCGGGTCCCCTCAATAGAAGATAGACATAATGGCATATGGAGGGCACTGCTGGGGCTAAAGAGAGAGAAGCAGTTGACTGAGTACCACCTGCATACATGCTCCCAGCCCCAGGGTCTTTGACTCCAGATGCCACAAGTACATAGGGGCATGGCAGGATCCTGCCAAGCCTGGGAACTAATGTCTGGAGGCTGGGGCAGACAAGGAGGTCAGATGAATGGACGTTAGAGACCTTGGGGTCTCTTCTCATCCTGGGGCCCCTGGTTGCTTTGGTGTACAGAGAATGAGTCTCTGGAAGCCACACACACCCCTGCACTAAATGAGGAGGGTCCGGGTCAGGCAGTTTTTTTCTAATGTGATGTCTGAACTTTGCCAGGGTGTCAGAGATCAAGGCATGCCCAATGGGAAGACCCCTCTCCCTCCAGGATGGTTACCTCCTCCATTCCCACCCTGTGGAGGAAAGGCCTATACAGCAAGCCTTGGTCACAGCCTCCAGTAGCTACCAACCTTGACAAGCAGTGTGCACACACTCCCCATATATTGAGAGTATGCTCTGTCCCCAGTAAGCTTGCATGCTGTGGATTTCAATGGCAAAGGAAAGCAGAATAAAGTGTGGGCCCCCCTTTTTTTCCCCATTTTAATATGGGGAAAAAATAAAGTTGGAAAGAGAGTTAGGGCAAGAAGGCTGCGTGTTGAGGCTTCCCTTTTGGATAAAGTACTCCACGAAGGCCTCAGGACATGTGACTGGGGAAAAAGACTGGAGGAGGTTTGGGAGCAAAGGCCCTATGGAAGTAGTGGGAATGGGAGACCTGTGTGGCTGGAGAGGATGAGAAAATGGGTCAGACAGGTGAGACAACAGTGTGAGTCGCAGACTCAATGAGAGGACATCGGGTACAGCCTACAGCTCAAAGCTCACCAAGGACCAAATGACAGCTCTGGACTTTGTAGATAGTCACCTCTGCTTACAGGTTTCAAAGATCAGCGTTGCTCATAGAGGCCTGTTTGGCTGGCAGCAGCATCTAGAACACTGTTTCTCAGCCTGTGGGTCTCGACCTCCCCCTTGGAGTTGTATGTCTGATACCCTGCATATCGGATATTTTATATTACGATTCATAACAGTAGCAGACAGAGAGTTATGTCCTAGCAGTGAAAATAATGTTATGGCTGGGGGGTCACTACAGCATGAGGAACTGTATTAAAGGGTCACAGCATTAGGAAGGTTGAGAAATGTTGCTCTAGAAGATTCTAGGTTAATGACTGGAGACTGGGTTTGCCGTAGGAGAGAGCAACTAGGCTGACCCCCTCTGCGATGATCCCTACCTTGGGATGACCAGTTCAAAGGTGCTAGGTGGCATCTCAGACCACCCTGGCCTTCCTGGAGTGGCCTCCTTCCAAGGGGACCCACATGGTAACAGGGTATGGTATAGAGAAGGGAAATCTTGCCTGTGTTGGAAGTCAAGGCTTATTGTTAGGACAATGACTTGGCAGCATCAGTTTGTGTGGGTGTCCTCTCCAACCTTACTGGGGAAGGTCGTGCCTGCAGAGTAGTGTTGGTGATTGTGAGAACACAGTGCACTTTGGCCCTTTTGTCCACCGTGGACTTCTCAGGGGGATGGGAACCGCTGTCCTCACCCGCTACTGGGCACCCCCTGTCCTTTCTTGGGTACCTGCTTTAGAATAGGTTCACTGTGAGCTGATGCCCTGGGCCAGCAGTAAGCAAGGCCAGCCTGGGTCTTGGCCAGTTGGAGAACAATTTAACGGCCAGTCACCTGGGTTCAGTGACCCTAATAGGATGGAACAAGGTGCACTATGGCAGAACTGTATGTAGGAAGGCTGGATTCTCCCAGCCACATCTGAGCCAGCTCAGACACCTCCCTCCTACATCTTGACCTCTCCAGGTGGGGTCCACATCAGTGCTTTCCCCCACCCCCGCTCACCCTGGGCACATGTCCCTGAGTTCCCGAGACAGCCCAGGTTTCACATTTCTCTCTAGTTCATCTTTTGAATGGTCTTGCACTTCTGCAGCCCAGTGTGGCCATTTTAAGGATTGAAACACTGAGAACACAGGAGCCACTTAAATGTTTGCCTGGTGGCAATGGCTGGGGTCTCCAGGGAGCCCACCCTTTGGCAAGAGTTACGACTATGGCTCAGAAAGGATGGGCAGGGGGTACAGCTCAGTTGGTAGAGTGTTTGCAGAGCATGCATGAGGCATGCATGAAGCTCTGCATTCCATCCCTAGCATGAACCGGCTCAGACCTGTAATCCTAGTACACAGAAGGATTAGAAATTCAAGATCATCCTCCATAGCATGTTGGAAGCCTGTCTGGGAAAAGTGAGATCCTGATACAAAGAAGAGGCAGGGGTTGGGGCTGGACTGGACCAAACGTGAGTGACAGGAACAAAAGCATAGGTGGGTAAGGACTGTGTTTGTGGGCCACACAGCCACCATTCCTTGCTGGGTCTTCTGAGGCTGAAAGGAGTGCCCAGGCAGCTTGCTCCCTCCCTCCCTGACTTCCTTCCTCCACAGTGAAACAATTACTGTGGCCTTCCTGTGTTTGGTTGTATGTTAATTGGTCATGAGATCAGTCCCAGCTGTGCCCTGGGGAACTGGAACCCAGCCTTGTACCCTGGTGGCAGGGTAGGATGGGACAGTTGGTTCATCTTGAAACTTAATCTATGTGCCCTCACCCTCTGTCCACCATCTGCCTGGACACAGTGACCAGGCAGAACAGGCCTAGGCCCCATGCAGAAAGGAGCGGGCCCAGGACTCTCCTGTGCAACCAACAGCGAGCATCTTACTCAGCTGTGCGTTCCCCTTGCTTTGCTCTGAGGTTTCACGTAGTAGGTAGAGATATTCAGTTAATGCCTGTCACTGGGGCTTCATAGTCAGGTTCAAGCATGGTTCCGAGGCTCCATGCAGAACCTGTGGCTTCTGACCCTGTGGTATCTGAATGGGGCGGGGGCATAGACAGACATGACTGCTCCTGGATATGGTTGGTGAGGGAGAAGGTTTAGAGAAGACAGACAGAGATAGAGACATCTGGGAGATTCCAGAGTGAGCATGACCCCGAGTTGGGCCATGTGGGGAGAGGAGAGCCAGACCAGAGACCAAGAAAGAGGTAAAGGGTAAACCAAAATGGCTGCATTAAATTGGGAAGGGCGGCCCAGACTCTGGGCTGAAGAAGTTTAGTTTAGGCATACAGGGTATGCCAGCCAGAAGGGCCCTGTAATAGGTAGGGACTGTAGGATGCTAGAAGAACCTGGTGGCCAGGTCTGCTTTGATATGTTAAGTAGGTTCCTCTGCTGGGGGAGGTGGGGGAATGAGGGGGTGTCCCCAACTATATCAAGACTTAGAATGGCCAAAGGTGGCTTTTCTAATTCCTCATAAACAAGTTCCCAACTGGACTAATGCCTATGGCTGCCAGGGCCCCTGAGGGGCTGCAAGCACATCTTATACCCCACCTAGGGTTGTGTGCAAGCATGGGAGGGAGGGATGATGTTTTAATGGACATGACTTACTGATTTTATTTCTTCCCAAAGACATTAGACATGAGTCAAATACCTCCTGAGGTGATTCCCTGGAGGTTTTCTTCCAAGTCTGAAAAAAAAAAAAAAAAAAAAAAAAGGTTGTGAAGCAGGTGGGGAGCTATGCTTGCCCTGCCTCCATCTATATGCTCCTTTGGAGACCACCTATCACAGGGTCCCTTGGCCTGAGGACAGAACCATGTGCTAGCACATAGCCGCGACATTTAAGGTGGTATTTCTCTTTGTTAGCATCTGCCCAGGGCGTATTATTAGGATGTGGTCAAAGCCTACTCGGTTGGGGCACATGAATTGAGATTGCGCCAGTTCTCTGGGGAGCCATGATGGGGAATCTAGACATCACTCAGGCAGGAGCCTGGGGGAGATGGAGCCTTCTGCTATCCACTAGGAGCAGTGAACCTGCCAGACAGGAGGGCGAGAGAGGGACATTCATGTCTAGAAGGGAAACAGATTTCTCAGGTACCTTAGAAACCTGGCCTGTGGACAGGATGCATTTTAGAGCTGGGATCTAGCTGCTCAGGGACCAAATTGTCCAGAAACCTTTGCAGGGAAGTAAGAGTGTCAGGGAGGCCCTCCTACACATTTCTGAGGCTGTCGATGATCAGGGTACCTGGGCTAGTGCAGGTATTTAAACCCATCGTCACAAACGTCTCTACATCTCAGGCCTTACCTTGTAGCTTCAG